TCAGGTCCCCTGCAGGCATATCTCTGGTTCTGAGATGGCGGGCAAAGCACTCCAGCTTCTGACACCCACCCTGCCCACAGAATGGATCAAATTCCTAACTTACAAGGTAGTTGTGTGTGAGAGTGCTTTCCAAAGTGTGACTTGTCGGTGGCAAAGTGGAGGCCGTTGAGCATCCCATATCCACACACCTCTCGTCACCCTTCCCAGCTCCTCTGGCAAGACGTGGACAGGCCTCCCCTGTACTCGGACTGCCCTGTTGGGAGGCTGCCCTTGCAGTCCCTGTAACCTGATTCTGTCTGTCAGGAAAGGCCAAGTCTGGGGGCTGGCACACTTCATTTGGGTTTGATTAATGGGGCTGCGGAGGGTCTTCGGGGCACATTCGCTCTGATGCACACTTCTTTCCAGCACCAGATATGCCAATTATCTGTGTTTTCCTTCGGGGAAGAAGGAGGAAATGGGCTGTTAGTAAAAACACAGACTCACTTATTATAATAAATCGTAGTGAAAAGTAAAATAAACATGACCCCCCTCATAAAGGGTGAATCTGAGACGCTTTCTCCTTGGTTGACCAGTGGTGCAGGCAGTGGCATTCACCACTCTTTTAGGGGCACATGGGCTATCGTGGAGCAATAACGTCAACAGTTAGGCTACGGAAATGCTACCGAGGCTTGATGTTTTTGTTACACGAAGCACTCATACAAATTATGAAAATCAACTCCCAATGGGCAAGTGAGAGATAGATAATTCACAACAGAGAAAAAGGAGTTAGGGAACATACACGTGGGAGAATGTTCAAACTTACTGGTGATTAAAGAAATGAAAATTAAAATAACGAGATACCTTTCATTGCCTATCGAGTTAACAAAAACATCAAAATAAAATAAGTAATGCTGGTAAGGTCCAGGAAATTCATAGGATGCTGGTAGACGTAAAATTTGGTACAACTATTTTCGAAAGCAATTTGGTAATATGTATTAAGAACCATAAAAGATATCCATACCTTTTCTGATGTTTATGTCATTTAACCAGTAATCCATGTGAGTAAATCTGACCAAAAGAAAGACACTTAATGTATAAACAATGTGACCAAAAGAAACAACTCTAAATACACCAAAAGAAAAATTCTATGTACAAAGTTATTCATCACAGTATGTTTGGAAATAACCTGAATATCCCTGAACTATTTTGCCTACATCTAAAAAGTGGTTGCAGAGGGTTTTAAACACCTTGTAGAGGTATTTATGATATAATGTTGGATTATAAGGCAAGTTATAAAGTTGTTTATATAGTACAGCTTCAATTATGCAAACGAGCCTTTACAGAGACTGGAAGAAAATTGAACGAAACAGCAATGATGGTCATATTTTCAAAATGGGACATATTTAATTTTTTAGTTCTAACCTGTTGTCATATCTTTTTTGTTTTTTAATGAAAATATATTCAGGGAGGAAAACAAGGAAGGATTAAAGATGAGCTCAGATCTTCCTAACGACCCGTAGCTCATCTATCATTCATGACTGTATCTTAATGTTTCTTGGGCCTATTTATATGGTCAACCCCCATGACCTCTGGCTAATGAGTTCCTTACGTTGTCACTGCTGTGCAGAGGACGACTTCCTTTCCGCCTGAGTCTACCTTTTAAGACTGTAAGGAAGCCCTTGGATCCCATGAGTGCTGTTGTATTAGCTGATGTGGGCAGCATCCATGCTCACAGCTGCCCAGAAACTTCTGTAGGTCCCAAGCACGGCTGGTAGAACGTCTCTTAGGGTACCAACTGCAGGCATCTGGCAACATCCAGGAAGTTGGATATGTTTACACCCGACAGCCAGCCTATCCCCCATCGAGGAATATTCACCTGGTCTCTCGGTGCCTGGCCCGGCATTTGGAGAGGAACAGAGCAAAGAACCGAGAAAGGGGACGTGTGTCAGGGTAGCACCTGTGAGGAGTGGCCGGGCCGAGGCCCAGTCCTGGTAGAGGGCGCGCCCGGTCCAGGTCCAGGAACAACGCCTTTCTGCTTTTTTTTTTTTTTTTTTTTTGACTGCGCCACACGGCTTGTGGGATTTTAGTTCCCCGACCAGGGATCGAACCCGGGCCCTCGGCAGTGAGAGTGCAGAGTCCTATCCACTGGACCACCAGGGAATTCCCAGGAATGCCTGTCTGCTTGATTCTGGAGGGTCCAGGGAGGAGGAGGAAAGATTCACCGGAACCTGGAGGTGATTTGTGGTTTGGGGTTGAGGCAGAGAAAGGGGGTGCCCCTTGGGGTGAGGGCGTAAATTCACAGAACCCCAGACACAGCCGGGCTATTCTCTCCAGCCAGGAAGTTGGAATAGCGAGGAAGTTGGTGGACTACCTCCCACTTACCCCCATATTCACTCAGGGCCTTTGGTTCCCCCAGTTCTGTTGTCAAACCCCACCCTGCCTCTCCAGAGTTAGGATGCGTTTATGGCCAGCCCCAGCCCCGGGACGTGTC